GGTCCGGGGCCGCGCAGGGACGACAGATCCCATCGTGTCCCCTCCCGCAACACTTCCTGGCTCGTGTCCCCGGCTGCCCGACAGGAAGAAACGGCCCAGCGAGTTGACCCCACGGAAAAATGCTGGGAGGGAGAAAAAGGATGTGCCACCCGGGCCTCCACACACAAAGTCCTGACTCCAAAGACGCCTCTGTGTAACTCTGGGCTGACCCTGGGGTGGGTGGCCATCATCCACAGGAGGCTGGAAAGAGGGCAGCTCTGCCCAGAGGAAAAGAAAGGACTTGTCTAAGCCAGAGAGGGTCACACTGTGGAACTCCCTGCCACAACATGTCACCAGAGTTGCCTGGCTGGATGGTGAACAGAGAAGGGGTTGACCGCATCATGGTGGGCTGGGGAGAAGACAGTTGCCATGTGCTGGGGAAGGCAAGAGGGAGGGGGCTCACAGCGAGACCAAAAGGGCTAGCCCCCCAGGCCAGCCAACCCTCCCATCTCTGGGATTTCAGAGGCAGCCCCCCCTCCCCCCCAGTGCCAGGGTGACTGACGTAGAGGCATCCCATTGGGGTGCCTATCGCCACATCTTGTGGCAGGGGGTTCCACTGCTTTATGTCTGATGGCCTGCATGGACCCCCAGCCTTGGGCTACAGCAAGTGGGGGAAAGGGAGAAACCTGCGTTCCTCGTTTGCCCTATAAATGCGCTGTTCTAAACACATTGTTTCAGGGTTGCTTTTAGCAAGTGCCCGTATTCTGTCCTTGTGTATTACAAACCTCTTTGACTTAAAAATACACAACACACACACTCTCAAAACAACGTAAACAGGTCCTGAAATAAATGCAACCTCTATCTCCAGGACAGGACCTGTTTTCCAATAAATACAGCTTGTTCCTTTATCCCAAATCCCATTATCCTTTTTCACCACCTGGTGCTCATGGGAGTTGCAGTCCAACCTCATCAGGAAGGGAGCCCTGCATCCACCACTGTTTTATATTTCCGAGTCCTTCTGACTGTTGTAAATACTCAACTAACTAAACAAACTGCACCAGAGCATGGTCAGAGTTCTGACTCCAGTCCTCTGAAGAGGCCCATGGCCACAGAGACTGGCAAAACGTCAGGAAGAACAACCTTCAGAACACGGCCAAAGGGCCCGAAAAACCCACAACAACCATCGGATCCCGGCCGTGAAAGCCTTCAAGAATACAATGATAGAGAGAATTTAAGGCTCATTTTGATGTAGAAAGTATGGAAGAAATAAATTCTGGCACAAGCGACTCGCAGATTCCCACGATAAATACCACAGTGAATCTTTTTTAAAAAAAACAAAAACACTTGAGTTATAATTGCCCATTTAGGCCTGCATTAAGGGTGGCTGTGTGAATTTCAGTGGCAAGTCAACGTTGCGGTTGTGTTCCTGGGCGCAGATCTGAGGTACATGGTTTTCCCTTACGCACCGTGTGCATCGCCAGCAGGATTCTGGCCCATACTCTGCTCCTCCCCGCAATCCCAGCAGGATGAATGAATGAATGAATGAATGAATAAATGAATGGAATGAATGAATGAATGAATGAATGGGGCAGGCAACCCATTAAGTTCCACGGACAACGCGTGGAAGACTCCATGGGGTCACCACACCCTGCTATGGCATGACCCACTTGGAAGGCTGATGGGCACGCTCCATCTCGCTGCTGGCTTCCAACACACATTCATATTTTTTTTTTAAAAAAAAGAGCAACAATGCCTTTATTTTAAAGCACCAGCAAAAACAGGGGAGGGAAATAAATACTCTGGACACCTACCAAGTTGGCAACATTACCCTCCGTTTTCATATGGGGATGGTGGTCCAGAGGGATCTGGACTCCAGCGGATCCCTCCTCCCCGCCTCTGGTTTCCTCCACCCCCCCAACCCCTCTCTGCTCCAGCTGTTCTCCTGCGGCAACAGGGACCCGGGGGGGGGGCCTCAGTCCATCTTGGTCTGCTCCTTTCGGCTCCGCCTGCTCTCCCGGAAGATCTTCACCAGCGACATGAAGATGGGGACGGCCATGGGGAGGAAGAGCGGGATGTAGATGGCGAACTTCTGGTCATCCGGGAAGTACAAGAGGTGCAGGAGGGACGGGTCGAAGAAAGCCCGTTCCGAGGAGGTGACGGCGGCTTTGCTGGCTTGGAAGGCCGACTCCAGGTCCCCTCTCTCCAGTTCCCGCAGCGCCTTCCGGACGGAGTCCACCGCGTGGTACACCTAGGAGGAGAAGGCGTGACCAGGCACCGCCAGGCAGCCGTTGTCCCACCACGGCAGGTGGGAGGAAGGGGACTGGGCCGTGCTGGGAGTCGCCAGACCAAAGAGGATAACTTCCCAAGTAACCGCCAAGAAACAGCGCAGAGGCAGGGAACGGATCCAGCCGGCCCAGGGAGATCGAAGAGGGCTCGCCCCACCGCCGCCTCCCTCCACCCTAGGGGACCACCCTATACCTCCGAAGCCACGTCGTCCTTGATCACGATGTTGCTGATCTTGTCCAGCAGCTGGGCCAGCGACGTGAGGGTGGTGGAGACCGTGGCCACGTTCTCCACCGCCCGGGTCCACAGGAGCCGGTCCAGCTCCCAGTCGGTCAGGCCCTCGTTCCCGGGGTTGGCCAGGAGAGCCGCCTCTGGAAGTGGCCCGGGAGAGATGCCGAGGAGGAGCCTGGCTTGGGGACGGGCGGGCGGGCGGGGGGAGGAGAAGAGCAGGCGGAAGGCATCAGGAAGGAACGGCAAAGGGCGAGGCTGCGTCCCTCCCCCTCTGGGGCCCCAACGGGAAGAAGGGTTCCATTATTTCTTCCTTTGCTATATTGAACTGAAAGCTTTCCCACCTGGCATGCAAAGCACAGCTCAGCTCCACTCACCTCTACTCAGTAGTAAACCCCTGTCCAACCGGGCTTTCGGGTAAAACAGAGTAGCCTTCCACCTTTCCTCTGAAGAGCTCAAGGCAGGATACATGCCTCTCCCCTACTTTATTCTCACAAGCACCCTGCGAGGTAGACCAGCTGAGAGGAGGAGGCAACATCTCAACGACCTCTTACAGGATGGGGACAAGTGCCTCCCTCTCTCTCCACCTGGCCCGCCTCACTGGACTGGCGTTGCGAGACCAAAAGGGCGAAGAGGCAGGAAAAATTCATAACGCCCACCTTGCATTCGTTAAAGGAAAGGTGTAAGACACACGTAACCAATATATGCAATAAACAGTTAGACTGGTCTGAACCACGCCTTTAATTTCTTGCATGTTGTACGACACTCTGTTTTACAGAAAAGTCTCAAAGCCTCTACACAGAGTGCAGGATTCCCCACCCTGGAGACCTACAAGTGGGGGCCTGGCCCCGCCCCATCCATGGCTCTTCATTTCCTAGATCAAAAGGGAGTGAGGAGGTGGACTAGCTGGCCTCTATCGCCCGCCCCCCCCCCAGATTCTTAAAAATGCCCTCCTTTTTTTTGCCCCAAGCTGGGTTTTTGAACCGAGCTGGGATGACTTCTTTCAAAGGGGGGGAGGCAACTTCAGATTTTCTTCAAAGGCCAGGAAAGGGGAGGGGAGGTCAGACTAGATAGCCTTAAGAGACCTCACCGGAGCTGAGCCAGGAACACCTCCATCACCGCCACCATGTCGACATCCACCCTCCTTGGCTGGGAGGCCTCGCCATCATCATCTTCTCCAGGCTCCACGTTGTAGACCTGGCGGGAAAGGAGAGGCCCGTGAGGTGGGGTGTGTGTGTGTGTGTGTGCACACAAGGAAAAGCTCACATCAAGCTCAAAGCAACCCCAGACCGACCCACCTTTCCGACCTGCTTACGGACTGGAGCACCACGAACCCTGGCCGTTCTGCACATTTTTAGGGGGCTGCTCTCGGCCCAGTGCCTCTTGGCACGCATTTCTCACAACACACCTAAAAACACACCGTTCCTTCCACAGCGGTGACCCGAGGGACACCCTTCTGTCTTTCGGAACCCATTTTTGGCTCCAGTGTGTCTTTTTCTGCAACCAGGGGCACAAGAGCAGAAACTCTAAAAGCAACTTCTCTTCTAAATGAAAGACAGAGGAGATGTGTTTGAAGGGGAAGCAGCCCCAGGGACAAAGGG